CTATTTTAACGGCATCTAAACTTTATCGATTATTGGTCTGCGATGTTTTCAAGGGCGAATATATAATAGCTGATTTTAAGGCAGTTTTTTTTGCGCTGAATCCAAAAATCATGGTCATTTTTTCGAATCAGATCAAATTTTTAAGATACAAGCTCTTACTTGAAATGTATAGAAATGTATAATAATTATTTTCTTGTTGAATTAAACAAATAATGGTAAATTTAGGACTGATATATTCACAGAAAGCTCAAATTGTGCCATAGTAAACTGAAAAATACACAAACGAAGCTATTCATGGATGGAAGGTCTTTTCAGGGACTTCCTCCTGTGCTCGACAGCCACCGAATCCCATTTCAAGCACCAGCAGTAGTCAGCAAGAAAGTTTACATCCCACTGACCTTGGTAGCGCTCTTCCGTAATGCAAATGTCTTGGTGAAAGCACTCACCCTGCTCTTCGCTCAAATCTCCACAGTTCTTTGGAAAATAGTCCAAGCGAGATCTCAGAAAGTGATGTTTGACTGACATTCGCGCCCCGAGTTGGCGGAAATTCTTCAGTGGCTCTTCAATTTTCTTCTCGTATTCCACACTCAAGGGGTTTCCCAGGAAGTTTGTAACTACTGACTTCAGCTACTGCCAGGCGGACACTTCAGCTACGCTCAGTGCTTGGTCAAACATTGGGGCCTTCATGAGTTCTCTTATTTGAGGACCGTCAAATATACCAGCCTTTCTCCATGCTTATTTATGTGCTCTTATTTGAGGACCGTCAAATATGCCAGCCTTTCTCCATCTTTATTCATGGGCTCTTATTTGAGGACCGTCAAATATACCAGACTTTCTCCATCTTTATTCATGGCCTCTTATTTGAGGACCGTCAAATATACCAGCCTTTCTCCATGCTTATTCATGGGTTCTTATTTGAGGTCCGTCAAATATACCAGACTTTCTCCATCTTTATTCATGGGCTCTTATTTGAGGACCGTCAAATATACCAGCCTTTCTCCATGCTTATTCATGGGTTCTTATTTGAGGTCCGTCAAATATACCAGCCTTTCTCCATGCTTATTCATGGGCTCTCATTTGAAGACCGTCAAATATACCAGCCTTTCTCCATGTTTATTCATGAGCTCTTATTTGATTACCGTCAAATATACCAGCCTTTCTCCATGCTTATTTATGTGCTCTTATTTGAGGGCCGTCAAATATACCAGCCTTGAGTTTCACCATGCTTGTCTATGAGAACTTCTGGAGGAAAGTTAACCTACTGCCTTCCCTGTTCATTGCCTTTACAAAGATCTTTATTACTCTTAACTTGATATCTAAGGTTGGAAGCAGTATTTTGTTCGGTTCCACGAGGGGGTGAGACTGAACGTTATGCGGGCCATGTTGTCTTAACGGCCACTCTTGTCTGACATAATGTTGGTCATCAGCCCGGCTGTCCTAGAAACACAGAAAACAAGGATACATTTTGTCCCCACCTTCGAGCCCTAGGGTCACTTCAAGCACATTAATATCTCAAACAGATCAACCATTTGTGCTTCTGGTGATTAACAGCAGACAGCAAATGATCTTTACTGTTGTGAGATTCTTTCATTTGTATTGAATGCCCAATAGGCATAGATGAAAAAAAAAATTACCATTATGTAGAAAAACTGCTTATAATATAACAAAGAATAATTTTTTTTTTTTTTACTTCGTTCTTCCAGCATTCTTACATTTTCCCGATTGGTGGGAGCAAGCTGTGTAAAATTTTTTCCGTATTATCTCGAGCGCTTTCAGCTCATTTTCTCATTTTCAAGTGGTTTTAGATGTTGTTAATTTCTTTTCATTTTTGGCTGTTTAAGATCAATTTTTTTTGCTTTGTTTTGAATACTAGTAGGAGCGTTTATTTCGAGAATTACCTGTTGAGCGCGGCTGGAATTTGAGTGAGCGTCTTTCTATATTTTTTTTTTCTTAAACTTTCAACACACCATTCCCACTGTTAAATAAGGTAAGGTTGACAGTGGGCGCGAGATGTTTTATATACAGGGCCTTTCTCACAGCGATATGTTTCCGGTAATGTGATTTATATAGTGCTTTAATGTTTGCGACAAGAATGTTCTTGTAATTGTGGGTAGCTAGATGTTTTTTTTTATAGCACTTTCATCAGATAAGTGACATTTGAGGCGTCTACACAAGGAGCTGGTAGTATGTCCGATATAGATATAATTGATTTATCTATATTTAAATATGGCATTACCCTCCATTTATGCCTCTAGAACGGAGTTATTTAATGCTTAACATGTGGTATAGACCAACCCACTTCAAGTGGGCTAGGATAATATTACTTTTACCTACTTGAAAAGGTACTCTAAACCAATCGTAAAATCGTTGACGTATAGAGGTAAGGTTATTACAGTCTTTCAGAATATTCTAATAATAATAATAACTTATGCACCTTTATACTTGTGGGACACCCACTTTAAATTCGGTCTCGTGACAGTTTCATTCGGGTGGGCACATGGATTAATCTAAAATATTTTTATAGTCTTGGCACCACGCCAACAAGCATTTGTTACTAAATAGGGAATTTGATTCTCACAGAATGTTCCATACTTTTTTTTTAAGCTTTTCACCCCAAGCAAGGCGGGAAGCCACTAGCACGCAAGGGGTTACAGAGACTTGGAGCGAGAACAAAGAAGAGTGATAGAGGAAAGGATAAAGAGAAGGTTAGGGGATAGATCAAGGCATCTGGAGACGTCGATTGAGATTACATTTGAATAGTTGGAGATTATAGCTATCAGGAAAACAAGAAATGGCGAAAGGAGTTCCACAGGCGAGAAGTGCGAGACATGAAGCTATTGGAGTAGAAGAGACGGCTACATTTAACAGTTTCGACAGTGAAAGGGTGAGAGCGAGATGCCAGCCTAGTTGAGCGCTTAAATTCATGAAGTCTGGGAACCAGCGAAAGCAGCTCATTGGAGCAGTTACCGTGAAAGTATTTAAAAAAAAAAAGAAGCTGGGCGCAGTTAATAACAAATTTCCTTATATCCGAATAAATATTGATGTTTATAGCCCAAAGATAAATATAAGAGCGATAAGGTTACTAAGATTATGTTACGCCAATTTTTTAAGTAGGGGTGTGCTTGCCTGTTTTAAAAATGAACATCTGCAGCCATGTTTTTTTTTCTATTTATTTAGGCTCGGCTTACGCGCAGGTCACATTGAAACACCGGTTCCAGTACGATCATCGAAGTTAAGCAACGTTCAGCCTGGTCAGTACCTAGATGGGTGACCACATGGGAATACCAGCTGCTGTAAGTTTGGATGTGCGGGTGGTGTGTAATGGATAATGGCACGGAATTGTTAATCGGGGAGCCGAGTACCAATTCTAATTGGGATCGTTATATTTATTACGCGCAAATAGAGTGGGCAAATATCTGCACTGGAAAATCTGCAACTTCTACGGGAAGGAAACTGAAAGAAACTGGTATGAACACCACCCAGACCCGGTTACGGAGATAGGACCTGTTACAATTCTGTGGGACTACTCAATACACACTGACAGAACAATCAAGGCCAACAAACAAAAACGATGCCTCCTTATTGATATGGCAGTCCCTGCTGACTGCAATGTATCTTTGAAGATATTCAAAATGTTGTCAAAGTACAAGGACCTTGAAATAGAAATCTCGAAAATGTGGCATATGGGAACATCAACAATCCCTGTTGTAGTTGGAGCCCTAGGACTGGTTGGAAAAGATTGCAGTAGACTCAATGAAGGGATTTCCTGGAAGTCCATGCCTCAAGGAGATACAAAAATTGTTCTGACAAGTACAGCCCACACCTTACGAAGGGCTTTATCTATGTAATTTAATTCTTTTTTTTTTTTTTTTTGGCGGTGGAAAGTGTCATGACGCCATTTCTAACCTTAGGTCCCTGGGCGGGACCCGGAAAGAAATGTGTAAACGCCAGAAATCAAAGAAAATAAAAATAATAATAATAATAATAATAATAGCTGGCCACTCGTATTCGAGGATACCGGTCTACTAGGGCGACTAGACAATCGCTATTGCCGACGCTCGCACATTTTTGTTTATTGAACACCCACAGAGCCCAGCCGTGGTTTATATACTGCAACTATGCTGAGCAGACCTTAGTTACAGTTTCAGGGAAAGAGCGCGTTATCTAGCGTGATCAACAATTTGAACAAGGCCAGCACGCTGAATCACTCGACCACGATGACTTGTGGTTTCGTGTTAGCACAGCTATCGACGGCCCCCCAAGTATTCTGTCTACCCAATTTCACTCACAAGGCTTGGGTCAAAGGTGCCATTGGGATCCGGTCCAATAACATCAGGAAGTTTCCTTTCCGACAAATCAAGCATGGTGAGATTCAAACCCGGGTCTCAGGGTCAGAAAGCGAACGTTCTCACCACTCGGCCATAACTTACGCCTAAATCCTCTTGGGAAAAAGCCATGGATCCACTTCTTCTTCCCCAGCTATGGGTTAATTAGTATGAATTATACCACTAACAATTATCGAACCGCAACGAAAAAAATTTTACAATCTAAAAAAAAATTCTGCCTTTAAATATTTTGCAAAGGGTTGATAAGCCGTAGAAAACGACTTAATCAATCAAAAATTATTTAGGCTCAAAAACTTTAGCCATCAGTAGGATATCTGCAACTGCGTCGTCCACTAGGCTTAGATCCTTAGATATTGAACGAAAAACCAACGCAGAAGTTAACGAATTTTTTTTTGTTTTTTTTCATATATTATTTTTTAAAAATTGTTTAAAAATTGATATATTCGCCGATGGTAATCGCAATACGTAATCCCTTACCTTCCTTTTCCCTTTCATCAATAGTTAGCCCAACGCTGCGTCACGTGATGCTTAGAAAGGAACGCTCAACGTAATTTAAGAAAACAAATCAAATCAATTAAGAGACATTCGTTATTTTATTTTTCTTTCTTTTCATATGCCGTTTTTTTTTTTTTTGGTCTTTTTTCTTCTTCTAAGCGCTTTTCGACAGCAAGCCAATTTCTTCGTAGCGAGATTAGCTTTAACGTTTTTTTTTTTACCCTCCCCCTTCTCCTCCTCCCCCTCCCAAAGATGGCGACGGCGAAATTCAAGGCCGAGAAACGATTTAGGTCACGTGAGCATCGACAGGGAACTCCCTCCTACCACCACATTTATACTCGTCGCGCACGCGCACACACGTACACGCGCCCGCCTGCCCGTAAGTCGCTCTGATCGAAGTTACGCAAGATTTTTCGGATTCCTTCTTCAATATCCGTCTTATACCGTTCTGAATAAGAGAAGAATAAAAGACGTTAATCGGTGACAAAGCTCAGACATTTCTCAAATTTTCACATATTTCCATTTCTGTATTTCCTTACTCCGCAGACAAGACGCATTGCACGGCCTGTTGACATCTTTTTAGCGAAGATCATTATTATTATTACAGAAATATTAACTTAATATTGTGATCGGATTCTGCTTCTAAAATATCAAAGTTTATGTCACTCCGCAATTTCATGTTTCTGTGAGATACTTTCTGAATATTAAATTAAACAAATAGCATTCTATTCACCACTGAGTATTTACAGGTTTCCTGAATATTAAACTAAAATTGCCAACTGATTCCCAGCCTTGTCCCTATAGATTCTATGAAAGAGAAGAATTATAATGAATAAAGTTAATTTTGAATATATACGTATATTTAATCATTAAGCGAACAGATTCTTCATATCTATCTATCTATCTATCTATCTATCTATCTATCTATCTATCTGTTCAAAATATGTATAATCTATCTATATCTATGTCCATATATATATATATCTATTTGCAAACTATCTATCTGTTCATTGGGTCTCTTCTTTCTCTCTCTCTTTCTCACTCTCTCTCTCTCTCTCTCTCTCCGGTTCACACTCCTCCCCAGTTTTTGAACACGTGTAGAGGTTTAACCTTTGTTTCCTGTTTAGCATTGGGTTTCTGGTTCCTTCTGAAGTCTTTTTCATTCTCTTTCACTCCCAGGTCCCTTTGCATCTCAGTGGCATTATCACCTTGCTTGGGCTGAATAGAATAGAGGTTGGTTTAGATTGCCTTCTGGTTCCTTCTAAAGTTTTTTCATTCCTTTCCTTGTTTCTTGCATCTTTAGTTTATTGAGGTTTCTGGTTCCTTCTAAAGTCTTTTCATTCTCTTCACTTCCAGTAGCCTCTTGCATCTTAGTGGCATTATCACCTTGTTTTGGGCTGAATAGAGAATAGAGGTTGTTTCCTGTTTAGGATTGGGTTTCGGTTCCTTCTAAAGTCTTTTCATTCTTTCACTTCCAGTAGCCTCTTGCATCTTAGTGGCATTATCACCTTGGGGGTGAATAGAGGAGTAGAGGTTGTTTCCTGTTTAGGATTGGGTTTCGGTTCCTTCTAAAGTCTTTTCATTCTCTTTCACTTCCAGTAGCCTCTTGCATCTTAGTGGCATTATCACCTTGCTTGGGGTGAATAGAGGAGTAGAGGTTGTTTCCTGTTTAGGATTGGGTTTCTGGTTCCTTCTAAAGTCTTTTCATTCCTTTTCACTTCCAGTAGCCTCTTGCATCTTAGTGGCATTATCACCTTGCTTGGGGTGAATAGAGGAGTAGAGGTTGTTTCCTGTTTAGGATTGGGTTTCTGGTTCCTTCTAAAGTCTTTTCATTCTCTTTCACTTCCAGTAGCCTCTTGCATCTTAGTGGCATTATCACCTTGCTTGGGGTGAATAGAGGAGTAGAGGTTGTTTCCTGTTTAGGATTGGGTTTCTGGTTCCTTCTAAAGTCTTTTCATTCTCTTTCACTTCCAGTAGCCTCTTGCATCTTAGTGGCATTATCACCTTGCTTGGGGTTTCCTGAATAGGATTGAGTTTCTGGGTTGTTCCTGTTTAGTGGCATTATCCTTCTTCACCTTGGTACCGTTCTGAATAGAGGGAGTAGCTGGTTCCTTCTCAGGCTTTTCATTCTCTTTTTCAGTAGCCTCTTGCCCATTTAGTGGCATTATCACCTTCTTGGGTGAAAAGTCTTTTTAGGATTGGGTTTCATTCTCTTTTTTTTCATTTCCAGTCCAGTAGCCTCTTGCATCTTAGTGGCATTATCACCTTGCTTGGGCTGAATAGAGGGAGTAGAGGTTGTTCCTGTTTAGGATTGGGTTTCCTGTTCTTCTAAGTCTTTTCATTCTCTTTCACTTCCAGTAGCCTCTTGCATCTTAGTGGCATTATCACCTTGCTTGGGGGTGAATAGAGACAAGTCTTTCATTCTCTTTCACTTCCAGTAGCCTCTTGCATCTTAGTGGCATTATCACCTTGCTTGGGGTGAATAGGAGGAGTAGAGGTTGTTTCCTGTTTAGGATTGGGTTTCTGGTTCCTTCTCAAGTCTTTTCATTCCTCTTTCACTTCCAGTAGCCTCTGCATCTTAGTGGCATTATCACCTTGTTTGAATAGAGGAGTAGAGGTTGTTTCCTGTTTAGGGATTGGGTTTCTGTTTTCCTTCTAAAGTCTTTTCATTCCTCTTTCACTTCCAGTAGCCTCTTGCATCTTAGTGGCATTATCACCTTGCTTGGGGTGAATAGAGGAGTAGGGTTGTTTCCTGTTTAGGGGATTGGGTTTCTGGTTCCTTCTCAAGTTTTTTCATTCTCTTTCACTTCAAAGTCTTTCTTAGTGGCATTATCACCTTGCTTGGGGTGAATAGAGGGTAGAGGTTGTTTCCTGTTTAGGATTGGGTTTCAGTTCCTTCTAAAGTCTCATTCTCTTTCACTTCAGTAGTTGCATCTTAGTGGCATTATCACCTTGCTTGGGCTGAATAGAGGAGTAGAGGTTGTTTCCTGTTTAGGATTGGGTTTCTGTTTCCTTCTAAAGTCTTTTCATTCTCTTTCATTCCAGTAGCCTCTTGCATCTTAGTGGCATTATCACCTTGCTTGGGGTGAATAGAGGAGTAGGTTGTTTCCTGTTTAGGATTGGGTTTCTGGTTCCTTCTAAAGTTTTTTCGGATTCTTTCACTTCCAGTAGCCTCTTGCATCTTAGTGGCATTATCACCTTGCTTGGGCTGAATAGAGGAGTAGAGGTTGTTTCCTGTTTAGGATTGGGTTTCTGTTTCCTTCTAAAGTCTTTTCATTCTCTTTCACTTCCAGTAGCCTCTTGCATCTTAGTGGCATTATCACCTTGCTTGGGGTGAATAGAGGAGTAGAGGTTGTTTCCTGTTTAGGATTGGGTTTCTGGTTCCTTCTAAAGTTTTTCATTCTCTTTCACTTCAGTAGCCTCTTGCATCTTAGTGGCATTATCACCTTGCTTGGGCTGAATAGAGGTTAAAGGATTGGGTTTCTGTTTCCTTCTAAAGTTTTTCATTCTCTTTCACTTCCAGTAGCCTCTTGCATCTTAGTGGCATTATCAAAGTCCTTGCTTGGGCTGAATAGAGGTATCAGTTGTTTCTGTTTAGGATTGAGTTTCTGGTTCCTTCTAAAGTCTTTTCATTCTCTTTCACTTCAGTAGCCTCTTGCATCTTAATTATCACCTTGCTTGGGGTGAAAGAGGAGTAGAGGTTGCCAATTGGGTTTCTGATTCTTGCATCTTGAAATAGAGGAGTAGAGTTGTTTTCCTGTTTGGATTGGGTTTCGGTTCCTTCTAAAGTCATTCTCTTTCACTTCAGTAGCCTCTTGCATCTTAGTGGCATCCTTGCTTGGGGTGAATAGAGGTAGAGGTTGTTCCTGTTTAGGATTGGGTTTCTGGTTCCTTCTCAAGTCTTTTCAACTTCCAGATCTTAGTGGCATTATCACCTTTTGGGGTGAATAGAGGAGTAGAGGTTGTTTCCTGTTTAGGATTGGGTTTCGGTTCCTTCTAAAGTCTTTTCATTCTTTTCACTTCCAGTATATTTAGTGGCATTATCATTGCTTGGGGTGAATAGAGGAGTAGAGGTTGTTTCTTGTTTAGGATTGGGTTTCCGGTTCCTTCTAAAGTCTTTTCATTCTCTTTCACTTCCAGTAGCCTCTTGCATCTTAGTGGCATTATCACCTTGCTTGGGGTGAATAGAGGTCTTGGGTTTCGGTTCCTTCTAAAGTCTTTTCTCTCTTTTCACTTCCAGTATTCTCTTGCATCTTATGGCATTATCACCTTGCTTGGGGTGAATAGAGGAGTAGAGGTTGTTTCCTTTTTAGGATTGGGTTTCAGTTCCTTCTAAAGTCTTTTCATTCTCTTTCACTTCCAGTAGCCTCTTGCATCTTAGTGGCATTATCACCTTGCTTGGGGTGAATAGAGGTAGAGGTTGTTTCCTGTTTAGGTTGGGTTTCCTTCCTTCTAAAGTTTTCATTCTCTTTCATTGTAGCCCTCTTGTCTTCATTATCACCTTGCTTGGGGTGAATAGAGGAGTAGAGGTTGTTTCTGTTTAGGATTGGGTTTCTTCCTTCTAAAGTCTTTTCATTCTACTTCCAGTAGCCTCTTGCATCTTAGTGGCATTATCACCTTGCTTGGGGTGAATAGAGGAGTAGAGGTTGTTTCCTGTTTAGGATTGGGTTCTGGTTCTTCTCAAGTCTTTTCATTCTCTTTCACTTCCAGTAGCCTCTTGCATCTTAGTCATTATCACCTTGCTTGGGGTGAATAGAGGAGTAGAGGTTGTTTCCTGTTTAGGATTGGGTTTCTGTTCCTTCTAAAGTCTTTTCATTCTCTTTCACTTCCAGCCTCTCTTGAATAGAGGAGTAGAGGTTGTTTCTGTTTAGGATTGGTTCTTTTTTTCCTTTCTTCCAGTAATCTTTAGTGGCATTATCACCTTGCTTGGGCTGAATAGGAGGGTAAGGTTGTTTCCTGTTTAGGATTGGGTTTGTTTCCTTCTAAAGTCTTTTCATTCTCTCTAGCCTCTTGCATCTTAGTGGCATTATCACCTTGCTTGGGGTGAATAGAGGAGTAGAGGTTGTTCCTGTTTAGGATTGGGTTTCTGGTTCCTTCTAAAGTCTTTTCATTCTCTTTCACTTCCCTTGCATCTTAGTGGCATTATCACCTTGCTTTTAGAGGAGTTTGTTTCCTGTTTAGGATTGGGTTTCTGTTTCCTTCTAAAGTCTTTCATTCTCTTTCACTTCCAGTAGCCTCTTGCATCTTAGTGGCATTATCACCTTGTTGTGAATAGAGGTTTAGAGTTGTTTCCTGTTTAGGATTGGGTTTTCTGTTCCTTCTAAAGTCTTTTCATTCTCTTTCACTTCCAGTAGCCTCTTGCATCTTGTTATCACCTTGCTTGGGGTGAATAGAGGAGTAGAGGTTGTTTCCTGTTTAGGATTGGGTTTCTGGTTCCTTCTCAAGTCTTTTCATTCTCTTTCCTTCCAGGGTTTGAATAGAGGAGTAGAGGTTGTTTCCTGTTTAGGATTGGGTTTCCTTCTAAAGTCTTTCATTCTCTTTCACTTCAGTAGCCTCTTGCATCTTAGTGGCATTATCACCTTGCTTGGGCTGAATAGAGGTTTGTTTCCTGTTTAGGATTGGTTTCTGTTTCCTTCTAAAAGTCTTTTCATTCTCTTTCACTTTAGCCTCTTGCATCTTAGTGGCATTATCACCTTGCTTGGGGTGAATAGAGGTAAGTAGAGGTTGTTTCCTGTTTAGGATTGGGTTTCTGGTTCCTTCTAAAGTTTTTTCATTCTTTTCACTTCAGTAGCCTCTTGCATCTTAGTGGCATTATCACCTTGTTGGGCTGAATAGAGGGAGTAGAGGTTGTTTCCTGTTTAGGATTGGGTTTCTTTCCTTCTAAAGTCTTTTTCATTCTTCACTTCCAGTAGCCTCTTGCATCTTAGTGGCATTATCCTTGGGGTGAATAGAGGAGTAGAGGTTGTTTCCTGTTTAGGATTGGGTTTCTGTTTCCTTCTAAAGTTTTTTCATTCTCTTTCACTTCCAGTAGCCTCTTGCATCTTAGTGGCATTATCACCTTGCTTTGGGCTGAATAGAGGAGTAGAGGTTT